TATATGTTTATTAAATAAAGTCTAATGTTACAACTAATCATGGATCCCTTTAAAAGTTTTCCTTGAGTTATTTTTTTCGTAAACTGAATAGATGTTTTTGACTGCAGGTTCGTTATGACGATGAGGTGAAGCGTCTGGTGTTGGAGCCCCTAGAGCTGGCACAGGAGATGAGGAAGTTTGACCTGAACACGCCCTGGGAGGTGTTCCCGAACTACCGAGAGGCCAACGAGCCTGCACCAAAGCTGGAGGCTGGTGACACCGCCCCGGAGAAGAAGTGATGGTTCAGTCCTCGCACACTTCATCAGCATCACGCCCTGTTTGTTTGTCTTATTGTGGGAAACCCCACTTGAAATATTTATGTAAATAAAAATACTAAGACAAAGTTATCCGATGTTTTCAAAGTGTTTTGTTTTTATGTAGAGTCAAATCTTTAAGTTGGAGAAAAATTACTTATAAAAAAGTTTTTTTCTTTATTCCTCATGAACAAAACTTGGACTTGAGAGCTTGAGGGTTCTGCACAGTCTCTGTTCCCAGGACTGAGCTCTGCTGGACACACATCTCTGAGCTTGTTCCTGTTGGAGCCACTCTTCTAGTTTGGGGATCASAGCACTGAGAGCTCTGATRATAACTGACACTTTACCTCAACTGTGCATCTCGCAAACATACAGTACGTCACCGGTGTGTGATGACATTTACAAATGACAAAAATAGAGGAAACTTTACAGTTAAACTCCTCACAGCTTCTCCATTTCCTTTTTCAACTTTTAAAAAACTGGAAACGTGTAGTTTTCTCATTGAGAACATTTTCTCAGTTCAAAATTAGTGTGGAATTTTAATGAGAAGTTTATTTATGTGACCTTGATTCACGTGCAAATTAATCTACAAGCCCATCACAATGGACAGTCAGGGTCTTTGTTTGCCTTGGTCACAATGAAGGAAGTTTTGTGATTAACTGATTAATTTTAGCTACAGTCTTATGTTTTACACTTTGTGATCAGTAATCATTTACTTCAGACAGGGAGAGGCTCAGTATGTTTCTACTTCATACATCCCTCCTTTGCAGGAAAAACAAAGWCTTGTTGGCATACTACTGTAACAGTGCTGATGTAAACGGTACAGTGACCAGGATGTTCCATTAAATGTTTAGTGCTGTAGGGACATGTGGACTCTTAGGTTTWGGGTCAAACATGAACAGTGAGCATAAATTGAGTTTTTAGAGCTGAACAATAAAGCTTTTTACACTGGGAACTAACATGTTTTCTGCACAGTTGATTGGGCCTCCAATTCCTGAACATGTTCTTACAAGAGAGATGTTTTGGTCACATGCATAAAGGTGTGAATTAAAGTAAAACTTGATCAGGCTTTATGATGTGGTTTGAAAGCTGATATCAGACCTCTTCTTCTATTTCAAGTGAGTTTTTACCTTTGATGTGAATGGCTTTCTTTAACACTCTCAAACTATCGGGCCTCCCTTTTTAAAATACGAACATATTCTGAAAACTGTCCCCATATCCTTGAGGCAGAGGCTCACAGTTGAGTCTTGTCCTGTGTTGAGTGGTGTCTTTTTGTTTTGTTTTGTTTTACCATGTCCTGGATGACTGACTTACACCAGCATTTCTCAAACTTCTGATTGTCCTTCCTGAGTAATTCAGGTTGCTACATCACCACTGCCTTTGATGGGTTGTTGATGAGTAGGTTAGTCATCTTGTCTGTCAGTCTGCACCTGGAGGTCACACAGTTTGTTTTACATGTTTCACAAAAATATTAAGATGCTTTAAAATAGTTTTAGAAGTGAAAAGATCTGACCGTTGTTGCCGTCATGATAGGAGAGTCCAGAACACAGCCTCTTTCAGTGATTTTCTATAGAATACATTTAATTTCATGTAGGAAATGATGTATTGTTTATGGTGGCACTTTTTTTTATTCAGTTCCTTTGACATTTATACTGTTGATTTGCAGAACAAGGATGAGTGAGAGTAACTTGTGACATTTTCTTTTTGTAGTTGTTTTTTTTTAGATCATCACTGCAGCATCACTTCATGTATCGTCTGACCTTTTGTAGAACTTGATAAAAAATCCATTGCCCTTGGTAAAATACTGAATATGCTTTTTCTAAAGTCTGAGTTAAAAATCAAGTGCTCTATGAGCTTCCTCTAGCCCTCCTATCGTCCTCAAATATAAAAACAAATTTGGTCCTTGGGGTCAATCTGACCCCAGGGATATTTACCTTGTGAAAATGATTTATGGAATATTGTTGACTATGTTTATGTGACAGGCACTTTGTTTGTTAAATACATAAATAACTCCTTGAAAATCAGTGAGTTGACCTGTTTTCTAGCGCCACCATCAGGCCAAACCTTTAAATTAGAATTAATTTATCTTGAATTTTTCATACAAATCTTCTTAAATTTACTTCTCAACATTAATGACCACAAGTCTCGTTTTGGTGATGATGATAGGACCTTTACTGTAGCGCCACCATCAGAAAAACTTTCAGGTTGAGAGTACATTCATGATTCTCACAGAATGACCATGTCAACATCCAAGTCTTTCCAACWGTCCCCATATACACGCCTCCCCTCTAAATTTGTCATCCCAAGCACAATATTTTTTATAGATGGTGTTACAAAGAGCTCGAATGATGACTTGGTGCCATCAACATGGCTGACTGCATATCTGGTGGGCCTTGGAACCATTTTGATAATATTACTAGCCGATACGTCTACCCTGCTGCTTCAGTGGAGAAAGGCACCATAGTATCTTTCCATTTTTGGAAGAGATCATGTCTGCAGGTGGTTGAGAGACAACAGGAGGGTCAACACTCAGTATCAGGGACCTCCTGAACACAGTCCTCTGTCTCAGAGACAATCTCCTCTAAGTCACTTTCACTGTCCAAGAGCTTTTACAAAAAAAAAACATCTTTGACAGTAAATGTTTTCCCAGAAGACAGAGAGGGTGTGCAGATTGTAGTAAACTCGGAGCACAATGAGGAATGATTTGGATAGAGGACTGAGATGCAAGCTTTTATATTTGCTTCTCCCTGATTTTGCATGAAATACCAATGTCCTTGCAGTAATATCCCACTCTCCACAGTGTGGCAAAAAACAGTTCTACTTTGACAGGTGTGAGTTCAGAAGGTCACACACACACACACACACACACACACACACACACACACAC